TATATATATATATATATATATATATATCGACATATCAGTATAAAAATATTCTTTTAATTTTTTTTATTTCCTTCTCACATATAATATTTTCTAACCCAAACCCATATGTTGGAATTCCGAGATAAACCATCGGTTTGGAAAACATTAATTTCGTCAAGAAGAATCAGTGTGCACACGACATATTAAGGAGCAGCGTCGACGAGAGTCATCGGCGGCGGACGCTATTCGAACAGTGGACGAACCGCCACGGGCAAACCGTCGACGACGGCAACAGACAGCGAAGGCGACCGTCTATCATCATCTGACAACACGAATCTTAAGTGGATCCAACCGATGAAAGCAATAGTTCTTGCTGCGCAAGGAAACCAATGCAAACACGTTTTGCAGTTTTCCTCGATGCAGAATGTTTCTTTCATCTGTGATGCAAACACAAACTCGCTATCAGCTTATTACACTCATCAAGCCACGAAAAGTAGCAATTAGAACGAAGAGTAAAGAAAGGACAAGCATTCTAGTCCCGATGAGAGATGCAATCGGAAGACGACGTCATCCGAAACAAGAACATGAGGGAGCTCCTTCCTCGACCACCGGTTCCAGAAGACTTGCCCTACCGAAGAGAGTCTATTGTCTTGCTCAACTGCTCCAGCTTTCTCATCCTTTGCCACTCGCTCTCGCTCACCAGCTGCAGAGTGCGATCATTTCCAACCCATATTTAGATGCAAAATTAATTCTACATTCTTGGTCAAAGAAATGCAATCGATGCTCTTCACCTCCATTAGCTTGTTGACTAGCTGGGCCTTCTCCCTGTTCTTTCCATCGAAGGCCTCAAGAGCTTCCCTGTACTCCTTCTCCTTTATGAACAGCCAACACACAGGTAGTGGTGAAATATGTATGTATATATATATATATATATATATATATATAGAGAGAGAGAGAGAGAGAGAGAGAGAGCTCATCGATAATGAGATACCTTCTTCAAACAGTTCTGGCCTAGAGGTTTCAGTTCGCTGTTAACTGCATCTATCTTCTTGCGTAAGTCTGACACTTGCTTGCTTGTTGGATCCGCCATGGCTTCGAGTTCCTGAGGAAATTTCAAGTTCATAGATCAACAAAATCGAGCCACAGAATGGACTTGGTGGGACAAAGAAAGATGAACATTCAACTCACCTTTCGGATCACGGCCAGGCGTTTACTTTCCTCTTCCACCCTGCCCAGCTGAGCGAAGACCTTCTCTCTGACCTCTATCTTCTTCCTCTCGATCTGTTCTTCCTTCATGCGGAACGAGGAGAGAGCTGTCCTCGATGCTTCCTCATCTGCTCTCTCTTCTTCGGACGGGCTGTCTCTATGGCTGCTGCGCACGGAGTTCCTCGCGCGCAGAATGTGCTGCTGTTCCGGTGCCGACGTGTGAGTCTGCATCTGCATCCTTCTCCGAGAGTCCTTCTTTCAGAACCCAATTGGACTTTCTTGTTCCTTTGCCTCCTTTTTATATATAGCAGTGCTTTGTGTCAAGCAACTTGACTTGCTCATTATGTATGCACATGCAATAAATAAGCTGCTGGCGAAATGACAAGTCACTGCCCGGTGAATGTATTGGTTGGCAGGAAGGTTGCGTTTCGATCTTGTTTCCGGATGTTCATCGGCTCTCAAACATCCGTGGCAGCTTGTATAAGATCTTCTTTAACTCAAAGCTATGCGCGTTTCTGATGGTACCGCGATTTCTCCGTTGGAAATCCTGTTAGGGCATGGATGATACAGTGCTTGAGGAAGGAATGCTTCAGGATGAAGCCTGGCTTCAGTATGATAACAGTAGGGGCCAAGACAAAGGCACAAGGATGCAATGGATCAGCTGCCTCTGGTAACCACCAGCTGGATTCCAGCATGAACATGACATAACCCCGTCACCTTTATTTTTCCCTTCCTTGCAGCTCATAAGCCAGGTGTGTGATCATGCATGCATAATATTTTCCCCTCGGCACTTGGAAACTCCGGGTGTGGCTGAGCATTGTGCACAAGAAAGTTTGCTTTGCTTTCATGTAAAGTAGGTCGCGAAAGAGCTATGGAGGAAGGTGAGACATGGTGCATGGCCACTAAAAACTAATGTGTTGGACCAGGGTGTCAACGCTGTAGCAGCAGCCCTCGCCATGAGTGCACTGCTCAGCTGCAGCAGCAGAGGACACCAACCTGCCCACTTCTACGACCTAATTGATTGTTTGAAGCTCTTGCAAGGTTTTAACGTTTGATAGAGTCGATGGAAGAAATGATGACATGAACCCGCTGAGAGCCCAACCCAAACCAAATGGCTGCAATATCGGTTGGGTTCAGTGTGTTTCCCAAGAAAAAAGAGAATATATATATATATATATATATATATATATATATATATATATATGATATCACGTAAAATGATATTGTAATGGATGACAATCACAAAGAGATGTTATTTATAATATTTTTAATATATTAATAAAATAATATAATATTGTTAAAAATATTATAAAATGAGTCAAATTGAAAACATTGTAAGGATCCAAAACTGACAAGAAAACTAGTCAGAAAATTACCATTAAAGTTGATGAGAGATATTTTAGATATAATTCGTAATAAGAGACATTTTTCGAGAAAAATAAAACTAGACATATCTTTAGAGAAAAAATAATTTTTTTTTCAGAAAAAAGTACAATTTCAACATATAATAATAATAATAATAATAATAATAATAGTGAAAATTAAATGACCGATCCGGGATTACTACGTACTTGGATGGTTTTCCATCTGGATTCATTTATCTAAGCCGAGGTATTTTGAACTTAGAAAGGAGCCTCCCTTCGCAGGCAACTACTGGTCATGCCGCGTTCCGCCACCTCGTGGCCTGCTATTTTTGGCGGCCACCGCCGCAGTCGCAGGAGAGATGAACGGCCCAGATCACGTGTTTGACCCAATCCGTCCACTCCACGGTCTCACCAATTGGCCGCCTGCCGCACCAATTCTTCGCTACCCACTCGTACACACCGTCACAGGGCGAGTTAGGCGTTTCGAAACCCGACCTACGTCACGACTGAGACGACGACGGCGATCGTCACGGCCGATGTCACGAATCGAGAACCGCACCGGCCAGTCGTGACGTAAGTCTTGACGTACATCAAGACGTTATGACGAGCTCCGGAATAAAAGGCGTGCGTTGCGACCTAATATACTAAGTTCTCCTTTTGCCCGTTCTGCTTCTACGTATATATAGGTATATACGCGATCGAGCTCTTTCGTCCCTAATTCTTCTCGGATACCAATTCGCTACGCGATCGAGTTCCTCCAATCGATCCATGGCGGAGAAGCACTTCAAATACGTGATCCTCGGCGGCGGCGTTGCAGCGGTGAGCTAGCCTCGCGCTCCTCCATCGTTTGATTTCTTGATCGGCTTCCTGTCTTTTATCCTTTGCGTATGATTGCGGGAGAAGGTCGTGGATCCAAGAGTGTGTTTGACCCGTTAGACTATTTAGGGAATGCTGGAGAGATTAAATTGTTTGATCGGACTGATTATGAATTCATGTAATTTTCCCCTTTTTGTGATTTTAGGGATATGCAGCTAGGGAGTTTGTGAAGCTTGGCCTCAACCCAGGAGAGCTAGCAATCATTTCCAAAGAGTCGGTATGGTTTTATATGCTTATTTCCTTCTTGATCATCTTATCAAAACCTTTATAGAACATCCACTGGTACTGGTGCTTTTTTGACATACAGGGAAATTGTGTGTATCTTGCATATGTGGTAACTGAAATATATGGTCTGATTTAACTTTGAAATTATGAGGGGTCATCAAAGTTTTTTTTGCCTGTCAAACAGGAACCAGGCTTTACCGTCTTGGTAGTTAGTAATCATTTCTTTTCATGATGGATTCATTTTCTTATGTTGTATGAATATAATCTAGTATATGAGCACTAGGAAATTGCTATGGCTGCCTTCACCAGCCTCTATCATCCCACAAAATGAACTACCATCTCTGTATAGACTGTTTTCTTTTCCTGTCAAATTCTTCTGTTACTGTCATAATGAGATGGTTTCATGTCGTTTTAAGGATTGTCCGTGTTATCACAATAAATGTTTTTTGAATCGGAAGCTACAACTCTGATTGTTCTGAGATTAGAATGATTAACTTGGCATCTTAGCATGCGATGGTACAGTAGATGATATTGACATTACATCTTCTCCGATAATTCTTTGAATGATTGGTCCTTGAAAAAAATCATTCAAGAATTGCAGGACGAACAATGATCACATACGATGTATATAATCTGCTCATATGTTTATCCTGCCTTCAAAGCAAGAAGAAAGAATCTAGCTAGACGATCCTGTAGTATTTTTATAATTTCCCCGTAATTTAGAATTCACAGGTCATTTTTGACTGAGGCAAAACTTACACCTTAATAACAAATCAGTAAAACATCCAGTTAGATGATTCTTATAGGTATCTTATAATGATTCTATATGTTTTTCCTTAATTTGGGATAAGAAAATCATTTTTTTATTGAACGATAATTCACACTTCCATTCAGTTCATCTTAGACCTTGTTCTTGAAATTTCTGCAAAGATTCTTTATTGATGCATCTTAGTGAATTATTTAGGTGGCTCCTTATGAACGGCCAGCGCTCAGCAAAGGCTACCTTTTCCCTCAAGGTATGTTGAACTTGTAATGGCAAATAGCCGACAATATGTCTTTGCTGTCGAACCATATAATTTTCACATTTGACAATAACCTCATTGGATTTTGTCATTTAACTGTTCCTATAACCTTAATTCAAGATTGTGTGGTGACTTGAAGATTCCTTCCTGTTGCACATATTCATCTATATCTCAGAATCTTATAATTAAGCATATATATGTTTGATGTTCTTTGTCAGGTTATTTACTTGCACTATACCAAAACATCAGAGTGAAATGCCAAAATATCATATTCACAAAATTCAATCTGACTGCATCTAACGCACATCTTACCAATAGTTCAGTGGTTTCATCATTCATGAACAAAACAACTAATAGTTGAGTTTGCCTGTGCTAGTCATGTTGACTTGCTAGTTCCTCCCATTTGATTTGTTAAGCTCATTTGGTACCTTGTATTCTGGCTAAAGGATGACTCTTATAAGCAGATCAACTTAAGTAGATCAATCTTTGGTTCTGACATTATACAGAAAGAGATCAAGCTGCTTCGGATCAGATATGTGGCTTTTAGTTGCATATCTTTACAATTTAAATGCTTATAGACATTTGCCTGACAAGTTCCTCTTCAGTGACCATTTTTTTACAGTATTCATGGTTCTGCTTTCCTGTCAATGACTTGTTATATTCATCAATATTAAAATTTAAATCTATGTATTAATGAAAGTTAGATAATCTTGGCAATTAAAAATTCATTAAATTTTGCTTGTTTGTCTGCCTATCTTTTACTACCAGTTGCATCCTTGTAGATGTACATAATCTCTCTTTTGCCAAACATATGATCTATTCCATGTTGAGTAGTTGCATAAGGAATCTTTTAGGTAAAGAAAGATTGATCATAGATTCTTTTCTTTCATCCACATTCTGGTCTACAGGTGCTGCAAGATTACCAGGGTTTCATGTCTGTGTTGGCAGTGGCGGAGAAAGACTGCTTCCAGAATGGTATGCTGAGAAAGGTAAATTTGTTTTCTCTCTCTCTCTTTTTTTTTTGCATGGTAGAGCTTGCTTAACCTTGAAATGGTTAATTCAGATAGACTATAACTTTATTGTCACATTTCCTGGATCCGTGCATTGTCATTACCCACTGAAATTCTTTATCGGTTCTTGCCGATTTTGAGTAGTGTATGGTTGCATGAAATATGAACTAATATTTTTAGGATCTGTTGGTGCCGGTAACTTTAATCAAGAAATGGTAATGCTCTATCCCTTGCTATCTTTGTAGCCAAACTTTTTGCACTTGACAACTCCCTTGCTTGCAGCACTTTTCATCATTCAAACTTTTGTTTAAGATTCTCAAGGATATAACTTTCTTGGCAGGCATTGAGCTTATACTTGGTACGGAAATTGTAAAAGCTGATCTAGCATCCAAGACTCTTACAAGTGCAGCTGATGTGATCATTAAGTACGATATTTTGATCATTGCTACTGGCTCCACAGTAAGTCAAGGAACTATGAACTGAATAGACACATCTTTTCACATATCTTTGTCCTAATTTTTGAGCTCATATTTGGTTGAACGTCCATCTTGACTTACATTTTCTTCTCCAATTTACTTGACTAAGTCCTATCGAGTCATCAAAGACACTTGCCAATTCCTTATTTCATCTAGTTTTTCATTGGATGTCTGTGCTATGTAGGTTATAAGACTTTCAGACTTTGGCGTCCAAGGTGCAGATGCAAATAACATATTTTACTTGCGGGAGATTGATGATGCTGATAAACTTGTTGCTGCAATTCATGCAAAGAAAGATGGAAAGGCTGTAATTGTTGGAGGAGGGTACATTGGTCTTGAGCTTGGTGCAGCACTCAAAATCAATAATTTAGATGTCACCATGGTGTACCCTGAGCCTTGGTGCAGTAAGTTACATTTCAGTGTCTATGAATTATTAGGATGACAAAAGGTCTCATTTCTTTTCACTTGGGGATGTCTTTGCTGTTTGAATATACTGTCTCTCCACGTCCCAGGGTGCAAGGATGCTTGCCTTTATTGTGTTATCAATGGAACTTCATTTAACAGCTCTTTTTTCTTATTCAGTTAATATCATGATCAGCAACCATAAATTGAGTGACTTTTGGCTAATTTTGTGACCTTTGAAAAGATCCTGACTGGATGTATCAAATTCGGTCACTCTAGAGTTCGTGAACATAATAACTTGCTATTCTGATGCAGGCCCTTTTTTTTTTTTGCAGTGCCACGTCTATTTACTGCAGGAATTGCTGCTTTTTATGAGGGTTATTATGCAAATAAAGGGATCAAAATAATCAAAGGGACTGTAGCAGTTGGATTTGATTCTGATGCAAATGGAGATGTAAGTCAATGGTGCAGTAGAACTCCTAGTGGTAAGTTGGTGATATGGTAATCTTCTTAATCCAAGCCCATAATGTGTTTATCAGGTAACCGCTGTAAGGTTGAAGGATGGAAGAGTCTTGGAGGCTGATATTGTTGTTGTCGGTGTTGGTGGCAGACCACTTATTACACTATTTAAAGGTCAGGTAGAAGAGGAAAAAGGTGGAATTAAGGTGAGACAAACATCCCTTCTTATTATATAATGAACATCAGCTATAATTTGACAAGCTATTGTTTCTGGAAACACAAGCAGAAGAAGTTTCTTGTCTACACTTTACTGTTAGGATGTTACTTTTTATCCTTGGCATGATGTATAAATTAGCCTTTAGACTTAAAAATTTTAGCTTTCTAATGATCACTATCATCCATCCAACTATATATAAGCTGCTGTTAGGAAAGGGCTCTGTAAATTTTGGCTACCTGTTGCTTAAATTGTTACTGCTCATCTTCTTTACTGCTGACATATTGTACGAAATGCCATTTTCATATTCCAACAAAGAAATTTTTACACTGGTATCAGACTGATGGTTTCTTCAAGACAAGCATTCCTGATGTCTATGCTGTGGGAGATGTCGCTACATTCCCTTTAAAGCTCTACAACGAACAAAGGAGAGTCGAACATGTCGATCATGCAAGAAAATCTGCTGAGCAAGCTGTCAAGGTGAGCTTTCTAATGGTATTCTTCCCGTGTTTGCATCATAGAAAGTAGGCAGAATGAACAGTCTGGGTTCTTATTTTTTGTCTATCTTATCCTATGTAGGCAATCAAGGCGGTAGAAGAAGGCGAATCGATAGAGGAATACGACTACCTTCCCTACTTCTACTCACGCTCATTTGACTTGTCATGGCAATTCTATGGAGACAATGTCGGGGACACAATCCTCTTTGGAGACAATGATCCTACCTCTGCAAAACCAAAGTTTGGTACTTACTGGATCAAGGAGGGGAAGGTGGTAGGCGTGTTCCTCGAATCTGGATCTCTTGAGGAGAACAAATTGATAGCCAAGGTAGCTAAGCTCCAGCCACCAGTGCAGGACCCTGAACAGCTGGAGAAGGAAGGTCTTGCATTTGCCAGTAAAATCTAATTATCAAGCTCAAAGATGTGTAAATTTTCTGGTATGGCTCGTTATGCTTCTGTGTCTATCTCTGTTTTGTTCATGTACGATGGACTTTGATATCTATTTCAGCACATGTGTGATAATAAAGCTTGATGATTCCAAGAGATTTCTGAGCATACACTAATACTGAATCTAATCTAATCAGAATTCTGATATAGTCATGACGGTCTCATTATAGATTATCCTTTATAATTAGTCATGACATTTTAATATCTTGGTCTCTATATTTTCAAAAATTATATTGGGATCCTTATACTTATGAAAGTAAAATATTTAATCTTGTTTCTCCTCACGTTATATCCACTTTGTTGATGAAAACATCGCACATGATAAGTCGGTGCTATTCAATTGCTCAATCTTTTCTCTTAAACATTCGGTAGAAAGAATCTCTCTTGTGATCTTGTCTCCTCTTCATCTTTTGAAGTCGGAGAAGGAAAATGTTTTCACATAAGTTAAAGAAGGAAAAATTAATATCGATAAAAATAATATTATGAAATTACTTTTTTAACCATGTTTTAGTGCTATTTTCCTCATGTGACAACACAGGTAGTATTTTTATAAAAAAATCGATGACGTGAGGATAAATGAGATTAAATATTTTACTTTTGTAAGTGTTTGGATCGAAATATCGTATACGACTCATTGATTGCTTTGAAGCATGTAGTAACTGGCATATGCTAAGGCAGAGAAATCATTCAGACCCGCATATATGCAGACTATAGCTTTCTTTTGACACATTGTTGTGGCAACAAAAGAGCTCTGCATTACCAGTTGGTGTTAACACAGTCAGCTGCTAGGATTTTTGGATAGGTGTAGTCATCCTCTTGACTTTTTCTTGTCAACGAAAATAGACACTATGACTAGCGTAAGATATGACTGCTGGAACAAATCAAGAACAGGAGAACTAACTACAAGCACAAGAAACTTCTTGTGTACTTACTAGTCAATTTTTGTACTGAAATGTCATGTTCATCGTACCTTCGGCATCATTAGATAATTGTTGATGTTAGATTAAGTAGTTCTTAAAATAATTGATCAATAGAAAGAAAATCCTAATTTTGATAGATTATTTTGTTGAGAATAACTCTGGAATGAATGAAACTTTTTGAGTTTTAATTATCGATCAATTTATTGATTGTAGTGAATCTGTAAAAAAAATAAAAAGAGAGGAGAATGATATAGTATTGATGTGCATATTTACTTCTACATAAGTTTCATGACGTTGGAGGTATCTGGTTTATCGAATAATTCGAGTTATATTTTTTTTTATGGGCTAATTATAGATTACCTCCATGTAATTAGTTATTTTAGCATCCCGATCCTTATACTTTTGAATGTTACATTAATATCCCTATGTTTACGAAAGTGAAATATTTCACGTCGTTGCTCCAATAAAACCTATATCTCTTTTAATTTTTAATCTTATAAAATTATCTTTTTAACTTTTTAACCTTGTACAAGGATATCAATATTTTACAAAATTCCATTATAACTTTTAAATATACAAAGATCGGGATACTAAATATAATTGATTATAAAAAATAAGATATAATTAACTCTTTTCTCGTCAACGAAAACACACACTATGACTAGCATAAGACATGCCTGCTGGAACAAACAAATCAAGAACAGTAGAATTAACTACAAGCAAGTACTTACAGCTTCAGAGCTTTGACATATCCTCGGAGAATCCTTGACCGATCTGTGATCAACCAATAATTGTCTCAAAAATCAAAAAATTCTTTTTTATTTTTTTAACCTTTTGTTTTGGTCATTATCAGAATTTACAAACCAAAGACAAAGATAAAAGAAATCAAAGAGGAGTTAACGAGCCTTAGAAGCACTCAATCTAACGCGACATCGGCGTCTTAAGCTTCTTGTGATCGAAGAACCACACCGTGCTGCGATTGAGTCGAGCAGTGTCTATCCCTTTCCGCCTTCTATAATTTCCCCAAACACGAAAATCCATCAAAATCGAGTGCTTTAACATCTGAACATCATCAATCAAGAAGGCGAGCAAAGAAAAAGCAAGAATTTACCAGAGTTCTTCGGCGACAACGGCCGGTGCGGTAGCTCCGATACACCTTCTGAAGCTCCGTGGCCGCCGCCGGCTCGAGCCATCGCGCGGCCGGCCGGCGAGTTTAGGGAGAGGCCACTCCCATCTCCCGAAGCCGGGGTGCGAGAGTCCACCTGGGAGAGCGGAGCGGAGCGTCACGGCTCACCTCCGGGCCGAGGTCTACAAGAAATCCAGCGGCCGCGTGGAAGGGAGACGGTTCGAAGCCGGCCGGGGCTTGGAGCTCCGCTGGGGCGTGTTCTACGTGGGACTCCGGAGACGGGGGGCTTCACGAGAGACACGGGGATGAGGGCGAAGGGTGATCGAGAGTTCGATGCCACTTCAGAGAAGCGAGACCGCCACCACCTTCGTCGAACTATTAATCGACGCAACGACGACGAACGACGAACGACGAACGACGAACGACGCCAAGTCTTGTTAAGAAGCTATTCACGGTCGTATTAGTAAATCCTTGGCTGTTGATAATCCATTAGAACCATTTAAAACATGACATTTTATTATTTTCAACCCCACAATTATCTATCTTTTAATTTTTTTAATTTTTTTTCTTCTTCAGAATTTATTATTTCATCAACTCATTGCCCACATCACTTGTCGCCAATATTACTTGATGTTGACGCCGCTAGCCACCCCCTTGGATACCTCTCCTCTCGTCGTTGATGTCATAAATGCTCCCTTAATGCTCGTCGTAGGTGTAATCGAAGGTGATGTCGTTTGTCACCCCTTTCAATGACCACCTAACACGTTTGCTCGTTGTTTGACATCGTTGACGTCCACTTTATTGTTTGCGTTTATAATTCTTTTGTCTTCTCATATGTGAACATTGTGAATTTTTGTTATGTTAGCCGCCTACTCTTCTCCTATGTGAGCGACCCTCACAAAGGCCATCCTCATCCTGTGACCATCACTCGTGCTCGCTAGTATCACTATTAGTTGGATTGAGAAAGAGGAGAAGGCAGAAGAATATGACATTTATGTCTATTTATAGAGAGGTATTTTAGAAATATTTAAAATTCTTAAAGTATGATTGTAAATAGTAAAAAGGATGATTAGAAATCTATCTTTTTAATGTAAAATTATAAACATATCTCTTCACAATAAATTATGGGTGAATTAAAAAAAAAGTTTCTATCTTTAAAAAAAATTTCTAACTTTCAAAAATTCTCATAGAGTGCCTATTAGTCGTCTGAAAAGATCATTTGACCTCTAATTCCATCGATTCTTTGTTGCCCTTGCCTCCCCATACCGCCCCTTCCTCCGTGGAACCCATGAGTCATGCCCTCTCCTTCCTCACTACTTGCAGTCGACAAGGGGAGCCTATAGGCAACAACAAAGGTGCTCCCCCCCAAGCGACAGTGAGGTTGCATGGGTCGCCCCTTCTCTTTTCTCGCTTGCGATCAATGATGCAAGTGGGGTCTATAGGCGACAATGAAGAGGTTGCATGGGTCGCCCCCTCTCTTTCCTCGCTTGCGATCAACGATGCAAGTGGGGTCTATAGGCGACAATGAAGGCACAAGGTACCCCTCCCTCCTTCCTTCCCTATTGCCAATGGCGAGGGAGCACGGGTCGCCCCCTCCCCTTCCTCACCCGTGATGGATGATGAGAGGGCTTGCGAGGGCACACGGACCATCCCCTCTCCTTCATTGCCAATGGATGATGACAAAATCCCCTCTCCTTCCTCACCCATAATCGATGAAGAGGAGGGCTTGCGAGCAACAGAAGTGTTTGCTAAGGTCTGATGAGGACAAAACCTTCATGTATAGGTGATGGGTTGTTGTTCAAGATGAAAGGGGTGGCTTATAAGGCAGAGGCGCGACGACGGAGAGTGATGGCTGACAAGGGTAGAATGATCATTCTGAAAAAAAAAAAAAATCCTACAAAAATTTCTCCTGAGATACTATTTGAAAAATTGTTAAACATAACAAACTTTTTTTTCAAGAATTCTTCTATACTTATTCCTCTAAATTTAAATTAAGCCATAGATTCTCGCAAAGCCTAAAAACTAATATATATATATATATATATATATATATATATATATATATATAATTTATAAATAATAGTTTGGCTTATCTAAAATATGGAAAGATAATAGTAGACGTATTACATAAGAGGATAGGAGTTCACATCATTATGACAATCAACTAATAGATACAAAAGACAATTATACATCTGCTAAGTTATTAGTGTTTTTGGGGATATATGTGTGTGTCATAATAAATTTAGAGGGATAAAATAAAGAACGTTAACTTTAGATAGATTCATATGCAATTTTATCTTCTTCGATTGTCAATCCATTTTATGCCAAAATTTTTACGAACAAAGACAAGGATTAGTAAATTAAGCCAAGTTGGTAGAAGGAACACGAAATTATTGGGCATAAGTTTTATTCTCAATAAATCTTTGTTTTATGTTTTTCCTCTCACGAAACAACAATACTTTAAAGAGAGTTGCATTGATAAAAAAAAATATAAAGAAACTTCTTAAACTAAGAGACGCTAATAAATCTCAGACAAAAGCTTTTTCTTTACTTTTACCATCAAGTAATTAGCTAGCTAAGAAACAAATAGCAGCAAGCCTTTTGTTACAGTAAACATGTGCTGAGAACATTTTCGAAGGAACCCTGCTTACAGATTCATGTGTAGTTGGATAATTATTTGCCCAACAGATTTATATGCTGTCAGAATTAGTTTGTAAAGTAAGTCTTCTTATGCTTAAAGAATGCCGGGAGCACAGATGATGAAAGAATTATTGGACAAGATAAAAGAGAATTTAAGGAAGTGAAGGAAATCTTGAACTAAAAATCTACACTTAGCTTCTTGTCGATGTCTGAAAACGATTGGAAGAAGGCCATGAAATGCTTATAAGCAATATCGATATCGTCTTTGCCGCATATCTCCCTGACACTGCAGCATAACCCAAATATAAGTTAGATTACAGTAGGTAACCACCACTTGAGAAAAACTGAGGATAAACGAGAACATTCATACGGCGTGCTGTATTCTCCTTTGCAGTACATGTTCTGCTGTCACACATACTATACCAAATGATTGCCAAATTCCATCACAATCCTGCATCTGTTTCCAATTTATATTTTTTGAAAGTATCTTTTAGATTACAAACTTGTCTGTCATGCCATGTTTGTTCTTAAACTATATTATACAAAATCTATGAAATCAATAATTGTTAGTAGAAACAAGTTCCCTATAAAAACGGTGCCGTGGAAACCAGGGCGTCAAGTAAAATTAAAAGATACAGCAACTATCATATAAATAAGCAGGGCTACAAAAGCCAGTAAACATTACACATTACATTATATAGGAAACAATAGTTTAATGGTGAAACAACAAAAAGAACTTCTGTTTCTGCAAATCTGTCACTTGGTCAGACTATGTTTATAGTTTTTAGTTAATATATAATCCTTTAGAGTGACAAAAGAGGTGTAGTCCATTTGCGGGTGTCAGCAGTGTGAATTGGATTTTTAAGTTCATGACGTAGCCATAGCAAATGGGCTTAGATGCACCTTCAATGGGATTCCAAACTCAAATAGCACAAGACATACCTACCTGCAATCCTCAATTGCTTGATATGGCGCATGCAATGTCAAGTTGATGTATGTGGATTCTCCTTTTTTTGTCGTCATTATACGGTTTTTACCCTGAGAATTTTGTGTTAGGTTTAGCAAACACATTTACCTCTCTATTAAATCTATCTGTGACCCATCATCCTGGTGAACATTTTTAATCGCTCACAGGTATCATCTCAGAAGACGCTTTCCATTAGGCTTCAGCTAACGTGGTTCAGTCACTGTGGGTTATGGGATGGTATAGTGTGATGTAGGTTGCTCCAGCTACATCACACTGAACTTCAGTGTGTCCAACATTTTTTATTGCCCAGCATAATTTTTTGTGACGATATTATTTTTCACATGTTTAAACAACAAAAAAGGAGTGCAGCATAAATACAAACAATACGATGATGCCAAGAGAGACTCACCTGTGCATTGACAGCTGAGGAATGCCACAGTCAACAGTTCGGATACCAACCCCTGAAGCAAGTATAGGGCCAATGGTTGACCCACATCCCATATCATTTCTTACGACAAATTCCTACATGGGTTACAAAGGTCAGCATTGTTTTACGAAACATCTATCTGCAATAAAATAGTAAAAACTTGAAGACTGTTATTGAAAGATTTTACAAGTTAATCAATAAGTCAACCGTCACCAAGAAAGAATACAACCAATTTCAAGATTATGTTGTCATGTAAAAATTGAAAACACTTTCTGTCAAAACGCTCAGATGGATCATGCAACTCTTGATTGCTACTACCTCAATAGAAAGGGAAAAAAAGGTGTGTTGAAACTTGAAAGTATGTTATATTCACAGTTCCCACTATAGGGTGCTCAAGTGGTTTCTGCGACTTGGAGGAAGAAATTTTTTTGTTTTAGCTGTATTAATGAAATATATTGTCCACAGTGGAAGGACACCAAGATTCCCACTGCTGATGAACAAAAAATACCTACCTCGCTTTGTGGTTTCTTTTCTTTTCTTTTTTCAAAAGCTCACAGAGAAGAAACATACAAACAACATCAATAGCAAGAACCCTTCCCAAAGAACACTCATGCTAATACCTGAATGATTATAAAAAGAGTAAACCCTCTAGATAAGCCATCTCAGAACTTGGATAGTGGATACCATTGATGACGTGATAGGATGTGGCAATCTGCCTATGCATAGGTGACTGCTCAAAAATATGACTATGATTCCTTCAATCCATTTTCAACTTCCTTATCATAATATAAAGAGGAATTTATTTCTCTGTTTAGTACTCCATTTGATATAGAAATAGACTAAGACTAACTGTCAAAATAATGAATCTTTTAGATCGATAAGTTCTCAGAACAGAGTGCCAACGGTTTTCCTACAAAAGCAAGAAAATCCTAGAACAGATTCTTATGGAATGCCAAAAGTATAACATAAGATCTACTGACAAGGCATGTACCATAAATTTTGCATATGTATCTACTATGCCTCTGTGCCATCGATGTAGGGAGACATTGAAGTTACATATTATTGCAGAAAAAAAGCAAGTCAAGGAGACTTCCATTAAGCTAATTTTATAGATGTATTAATCTCTAAAAGGTTCACTTCTAGGTAACAAAGTCAATAATACAGAGAAAAAGGACAACAATTACTCATCCACACGGACTAGAAATAATGGATAACATGTAATACATTGTCGAGTCTTCAACGAATGCATTGCATGAAAAAGCACCTTAAAGAAAGAGATTTTATTTGAGAATGTAATCCAGAAGATCATATAATTCATCAGCAATACCTGAACTGGAAGGTTATGAACATTTGCTACTTCTTTAAAAAGAAATGCAGTTAAAGAACTTGTGGCATAACGCTGATTGGCATTATGTTTGATCACAACTCCTTTTTGTAGAGCTGGTCTGTGGTGCTCTTCATATTTGTCTGGAAAATTTGGGTGGAGACCATGTGCCATGTCTGCCGACACTGAGAAACAACAAATAGACAAAACATAAGATCCACTAGTAGATTATCAGACCTTATACCGATAATCCATGTAATTATATCCATTTCAGAAAATCAGCATCACATTTGATTTCTTTTATCATGTACGAAAACACACAAAGGAGACATGAAAAAGCTAACAAAAGTAGAAATTTCTTGGTGTCCCACTTGGTCAACAACTCAGATATAAAGTTGACACTCTGCAGACATCCAATAATTTCTTATCAACCTCATCTCTTATACCTTCAATACAACTCTTGAAATGTTGTAGTTGTACTGCTAGAACTTTTAAGTTAGTTCATTACTGCAATTTACATGATCCATCACTTCAAAATTTATAACTACTAGATACCCACTAGAAATTGGAATGGAAATAAAACCAGACATGTATCTTAAAATTCCTAGAATAGCAAAGAAAGAGAAAAGAAGCTTTAGATCACCCATAGAACTAGCAACAATAGCATAGTAATAGTTCCAATGAAAAGCACTCTTTCAGAGTTGATGATTCTGCAACGATGCATAAAAAGAAGCTATCTATATATCCAACAATCTACAGTCTCAATCACAGAATTCTATATTCAAATTGTTCAAGGACTTTTTGACCATAAAAGAATGACAGAATTTGAATGGGCATAAGTGTAACTGAATTTGTGGGCATATTTTTATTTGTCAACTAACTAATAGTTATTTTCAACACCCCAAGGACAAATATCATGACATTTCAAAAGGACGAGCAATTTCTTTATTAAGATAAAAATAAATTACCATCATTAAAGAAAAAAGGAAATAAAAATTATTATGAGGGCATGTGAAGGTAATTTACAAAAAATACTGTCTGCTCCAGAAAACTTCAGACTGATCCTATCACAAAGAACACAGTTCACATTTTTGCAGATAGTAAGTACTATGTGAATTCTTATTGTACTCTATCTTCAAGCAAAAGAAAATTAGCAACAGAATACCAAGAAAAGATGAACGTAATGCACGTTCAAATGAACCCTCTCTAAATCGCTCCTGAGCCAAGCAATCAACAATGCGTCTCATAGCCTGGAAAATGGTTGGTGCACCTGCCCCTTGCATAGAGTTTGATCCCACCTGTCAATTCCAAAACAACATAATACAACTAAAAAAAATATTGTGTGTGCTTTTGACAATTGAGTAAA